TTCCTCTCCTGCGCTGTCCCTCCACCCTCCCAAGCATGATGTCCCTCTCTAAGGACCGGTCTCTCCTCACTACATGTCCAAAGTAAGTTAGACGGAGAAAGGCAGGGACAACCCTGACACTAAAGTTAACTCCGCTGGTCTGTCTAATACTTCTCTAAATCTTAACATTCACATTGAGACGGACTAGGAAGAAGGATTGGCCATCCACTTCTGAAATAGCAGGCCTCTGAAAACCCTATGGCATACTTTAGATATGTTTTAAGGAGAGACCGGTCCTTGGAGAAGGACATCATGTTTGGTAGGGTGGAGGGACAGCGCAGGAGGGGAAGGCCCTCTATGAGGTGGACTGATTAAGTGACTGGGGTAAAGGGGGTGGGTGTGTCAGAGACAGTGCGATGGGCACAGGACAGAGCAGAGTTTAGGGTAGTTGTACATAGGGTCGCTATGAGTCGCAAGCAACTCGACGGCATATAACAACCAAGAGAGGAAGACCCTGGATGAGGGTCTGGGGGGTAGGCGTGTCAGAGACAATCCAAGTGGCTCTAGATAGAGCAGGTTTCAAAGCTATTGTACACAGAGTCACTATGAGTTGCAAGCGACTCGCCGGCACATAAACCACCACCACCATCACCGACTTTTACAGGTCCTGCTCATTTCAGCCCGGCACAGACGCACCCCGGGTTACCCGGAAGGTGTCACGACAGCCGGGGCTCTCACCCGAACTCCGCCTCCCAATGGCTGCGGGGCGGAGGGCATCAAGATCACATCCCGATCCCCACGTTACTCATGAAGCGCAGGCCTAAGGCTTTTCCTCTGCCGGGGAGGGGGCGGCCGGGCAGGGCGGGAGGCGCAGAAGTCCCGCAGGAGGCCCACCCACCGCCCGCCCGCTCCACGTGACCGAGCGAAGGCCGGCTGGGCAGGGCGGGAGGCGCGGGAGTCCGCAGGAGGCCCACCCACCGCCCGCCCGCCGAGGAGACAGACGCAGCTGCGCAGCACCCGCCCCACGTGGAGAGGGGGCCGGCCGGGAGGCGCGGGAGTCCCGCTGGGATCGCAGCCCGTAGCCCAGCGGCCCGGCGCCCGCTCACCTTGAGCTGCCCCACCAGGCGCAGGAACTGCAGTAGGTTTCGGGCCCCGCGGCCCGAGGAAGCGGCAGACACCGAAGCCATCAGGGACTGGCCACCGGGATGGGCCTGGCAGGCGGCGCGAGCTACCAGAAGCCCCGCCCCCGTCCCCGCCCGTCGCGCTTCCTCCTCCGGTCTGTCCGCCGGTGCCTGCTTCCCGCCTCCTCCGCCTTCTCCTCCCGTCCGCCCTCCCACCTCTCCCGCTCCACCCCCGCGCGCGGCAGGCACGTTGCTTGTCACACACTGCTTAGGACTTTGCGATTGACACAACTGGGGGACCCCCGGGAGGAAGAGCCTGTGCGATGTTGCACCCAAAAATGTTACCTTGTCAGAACTGGATGTCTAAATGGGGAATGTGATTCAAAGAACGGAGTCCCTAAGCATCTTAACAGAAGCACAAAGAATGTACTTCAGAGAGGAAAAATTGCTCTGGTGGCCTATTCCCTAAGGAGTTATGCTGATAAATAAAAAATTAAAAAAAAATTCTTCTTTCTAGCGGGGCTCTTTGAGGGAAAGTTGGGCGATCTCCACCCATGTGATTTTACAGCGTGGGAAAGCCAGAGAGGGTATGCCACCAGCCGGTTGCCACTCCATGGTAATGAATCTGACAGATGTACTCAGGGGAATTCGAAGTCTCATGAGTCAGGGAGTGAAAGCGATCTTGTGTTGAAATGACAACCTTCTCAATCCATTCTTTTGTTGATGGTTATTTCCAGCTGTTTGATATTGATTTATCTGTTTGGGTGGCATTTATGGTTTCTTTAGGGTATATTCCCAGTGAGATTGCCGGGTCAAATGGTGTTTCTATTTCCAACTTTTGGAGAAAGCACCATGGTACCTTCCATAGTAGTTGCATCATTTTACTCTCTCACCAACAATGAATAAGGGTTCCAGGTTCTCTACAACTTCTGTCCTTTGGAATTGGTTATGGATTGGACTCTGGTAAACAATGGAATATGGTCAGCTGATTTTTTGACAAGGAGACAAAATAAGTTAAGTGGAGAAATGAAAGCCTTTTCAACAAATGGTGCTGGCAAAATTGAAAAACTATCAGAAAACTCAGGCAAGACCCATACCTCACACCATACACAAAAACCAACTCAAAGTGGATCAAGGACCTAGGAATAAAACCAAGGATTATAAACTTCATCAGAGAAAAGCTTGGAAGAACTCTAGGAGCCCTAATCCACAACATGAACAGTCTTCCAAACATCCTGGAAAACCTACAATCAAGGGAGGCTAATACATGATTGGGACATGAATGGGACATGAATTCATTCCATGGAATGGAATCATCTTGTCAAAAGCCCCTGTTATTTGCAGCTCTGTTGAATTTTGCTATTGTTACTGGGGTGAGATGATACAGTTGTTTTGATTTACATCTCTCTTTGAGCTAGGGATTTTGAACATTCTTCATGTGTTTGTTCGCCATTTGAATATCTTCTTTGGTGAAGTGTCTGTCATATCCTGTGCCCATTTTTCAATTGGGTTATTTACCTGTATCTTGTTGTGGTGCTCGAGTATTCTTTATATTCTAGATACAAGTCCCTTATCAGACATGTCGTTACCAAATATTTTTCCAGTCTGTGTGTTCCCTTTTTACCCTGTTGGAGAAGTTTTTAGGTGTGCATAAGGATTTGATTCTTAGAAGGTCCTATTCATCTATTTTATCCTCTCCTGGTTGTAGGTTTTTCAGGATGCATGAAAAACTTCATATTGTGGATTAGGACTTCTAGAGTTCATCCAAACTTTTCTCTGATGAAGTTTATAGTCCTTGATTTTAGTCCCAGGTCCTTGATCCACTGTGAGTTGGATTTGTGTATGGTGTGAGGTGTTTCTGCAGATAGTTTTCCAATTTTGCCAACACCATTTGTTGAAAAGGCTGTTGTTTCCCCACTTAACTGATTTCATCTCTTTGTCAAAAATCAGTTGACCATAGGTAGATGGGCTGATTTCTGGATTCCCAATTCTCTTCCATTGATCTATGTGTCTGTCATTGTACGAGTACCATGCTGTCTTGACCACCATGACAATGTAGTAGGATTTGAAATCAGGGAGTGAGATGTCTCCTACATTTTTTCCCTTTTTGGGAGTTCTTTGCTTATTTGGCATCTCTATACATTCCAAATGAAATTGGAAATTGCCTTTTCCATCTTGAAGAATGGAATTGGTATTTGTATTGGGATTGCATTGAATGTGTAAATTGCCTTTGATAATATTGTGAAAATGACAATTCTGAGTCTAGGCAAGAGCAAGGTATATTTTTCCATTTCTCAAGGAATGAATGGATTGAGAAGTTATGGTATATTCACACAGTGGGATACTATGCAGCACTGAAAAACAAGAAACTCGTGAAATATTATACAAAATGGGTGACTCTGGAAGACATTATGCTGAGTGAAATATCTCAGTCACAGAAGGACAAATACTGCATAATGCCATTGTTATAAAACAGTACTGGCATCTGGGTTGGGGAGAACTAAGATGGGCTAAATAATACACACTGCATTGAAACAGAAGAGGGAAAGAACTGCTTAAAAGAAATATATGATTAGGTTTTATTTGTATGACAACAGTACAGAATGTTGTTATTAAGTGCCATCGAGTTGCAGGCAACTCATAGTGACCCTATGAAGGAGAGTCCTCAACACTTGGGTGTCTTTCATCCTCTCTCCAGGTTCATAGGGTTTCCAGAGGCAAGCTGTTATGGAAGTGAATGCCACTCCTGCTTCCAAGCTTGTTTTAATCGGGGAGCTCCACCCCACTCTCTGTCCGCATTGGGTAACCAACCATTAATGCATTTGACACATCAGTGTCACAGTGTTCAGCCTCACAGCAACCATAAGTTACCGCTGTATGGCAACTTGTACACCAGGGCTATATGACCTAGAGGAATGTCTGAACAAAAACAATGAAAGACAGGCCTTCATGGCTGCAGATTAAGAGTCAACCACCCCCTCAAGGACATTATGCTGAGTGAAATATCTTAGTCACAAAAGGACAAACACTGCATAGTGCCACTGCTGTAGAATGGGACTGACATCAGGGTTGGAGTAAGAATGAGAAAAATTGGATAAATTATGGATACTGCATTGAAAAGGATGAGGGGGAGAACAGTTTAAAAGCAATATATTATAGGGCATTATGATTATCATAAGAGTCTGGAATGAAAGTTGCAGAGTGGAGTATACTCGGGGTGGGGGTGGGAGGGTGGGGATTGTATACCAATGGAAGAATTTTACTTTTAAAGAGAAGAGCGAACTGGGTGTGGGGGCGCGGTGGGGAGAAAAGTGCAACAATGAATGAATGGAAATCCAAAATCTCTGTAAATGTTCATTGAAAATAATAATTAAAAAAAAATCTTCAACCAGGAAAAAAAAGTCACCCTCCTTTGGCTTGGTGGCATCGCTTTCTGTCTACTGGGCCAGCTGATCTCTCTCTATGTTGATGTTGTTTAGTGCCACCGAATCTCAGGCATATAGTAGTTATAGTTACGAAAATGTAATGCTGGTTTGACTTAAGGATGTAATTGATGAAGAAATAAAATTTCTTTTATTAAATCTTGAGAAAAAAGAAGATTGGTGCTAGAAATAGTTCGAGGAGATATGGGAGCCTGAGGAACATATCTGGCCTCATGGGAATTGGTTTTGTGTGTGGATGTTGTTGGTGGGGACAGTTCTTTGGGACTCGGACTGCTGGGGCAAGGAGCTCCTGCATACCTGGGAAGGGCAGGATACATGGAGATATCCAAGAAACTACTCGACCTATAGATGCTAAGGAAAACAAGGACTTTCCTCCAGGACTGGCAAGAGAAAGCGAGCCTTCTCTTAGCGTTAACATCCTGAATTTGGACTTCTAGCTTTCTAAACAAGGGACCTCTTGTGACTCAGTCTCAAGGAGTTATGTGATTAACTCAAAGGCCACACCTCTCTGGCAGTTTGGGTCTACCAGCTAGCTACCCCAAGAGAGACAGGTGGGCCATTTCCTTCCACACAATTATCAGCCTCTGAAACCCAAAGGAGGGTCAACTGTGAGTCTGTTGCAACTCCATAGCAATGGCTTTGACTTTTGAAACTGTAAGATAACAAATTTATATTAAAGACATATACCCTGTTATCTTTGATATAATACCAGATTAAGACACTTGCATACTTCTTTCCATGCATAGATATTACAGCCTCAACATCTCTCATGCAACCTCCAAAATCAGTGTTGTTATTGTTATGGGCATTACAGTTGTAACTGATTAAGAATTGGCTTTCCGGTGGGTTTTCACATTCTGTAGATCACACAGGGCAAGATTTCCTGTCTTTCTCAGACAGAAAAGTTAGTGGATTTGAACCTTGAGCCATTGATGATCAGTGCAACTCCTTATCACCAGGCCATCAGAGTTTCCTCTAGAGTTATTTATCATTGAGTCAGAACTGACTCATCGCTGAACTTTCAGTGGGTTTTCAGAGGCAGTAAATTACCTGGGAGCAGACTAGATACTCTCTTCTGGAGCAGCTGGTGGATTTGAACCGTGATCCATTTGTTTAGCAGCACAACTCACCACTAAGCTATCAGAGTTATTGTTGGCATGTACCATCGAATTGGAGCCGAATCTTAGCTGACCCTGCAGCAGCAGTGCAGCTCCTTACCACTAGGTCGTTATCACAGTGAACATGCATCCTGAAGTGGCACTTGACAGAGTAAGAGTGGTTCCTAAGTACACCTTTAAGAGGACCCACTCACTGCCGTCAAATTGGTTCCAGCTCATAGGCACGTGGGAGTTCCAAGGCTGTACATTTTATTGAGAGGAGACTGTTCAGCCAGCCCCCTCCCTTGGAGCAACTGGTAAATTTGAATCATGAACTTTTCCCTCAGCATCCTGACACATTATACATTATGCCACAAAGCTTTCATGTAGGACAGTTATACCCTGTCCTACTGTAGGGTTACTATGAGTTGGACTTGACTTGATGTCAGTGTGTTGTAACAGTATATGTAGTTTGTGAGAGGCCATATTTTAAAGAGAAAGCAGATTTTTTTGAGAGTTGATTGTTCAAAAAAAGT